CCGTCCTCGTTAAAAGCGTCCGCGTGTCGCGCTTCGGCCATCACCCCGATCTTCCAGCTCCTGCCTTCCAACCGTCACGCGTCTTCGCTTCCTTCTTCCACCCTTTCTCTCGACCCTCGCCGATTAAATCTTTCCTCATCGTTATTTTTTTGATCGTAGTTTATTCTTGTAAAAAAAAAAAAAAAAGAAAGGAATCGAGCTTGCTGGTTTCTCTCTGGAGAATCCAAGATTACTGGTCGGGAATATCCAGTCGGAAATCGAAGCAGCATGGGGATTCTCACGTGAGAGGCGTGTTCCGGGGGTAAGTCGCCATTCCATTCTACGTTGAGAGAAAATTAAACGGAATCCTCTTCTTTTTTTCGTTTTTATTCCCGTGGTTCTTTTGGTTTTGTTTTTTCTTTTTTTTTTTTAGGGAGAAAAAATGTTTGATTCGTTTCTTTATTGATTCGTTTTCGAAATTCGTTTTCGAAGAGATTTTCAGGATAACAGGATATTTTTCATTTCGATTTTCGAGATTCATCCTGGAAAGGAAAAGAAAGAAACATTCGATTCTTGGTCCATTCTTTGAGTGGAAATTTTGATGATAGACGCGATATATAATGGAAAGTTAACTAACTTTCAATTATCGATTCGGTTCATCTTAAAAAAAAAAAAACTTAATTTTTCGAGATCGAGAAAATGCATTATTTTCTAGATGTCACGTGTTTGCAGAGTGTGTCATCCACATTTGATTTGTTTTGAAAGCAACTTAAGTAAGAAGTTTAAAATCGACGCTTGGATCGAGTAATTTTTGTCGAAGAAACGATAAACGGGTAAATAAAACGATCGTCCTTTATCGTAGTGTACGGAGTACATGAGATGGCAGTCCTTTGTTATTGTCCTCCGCCGTCGTATCCCGAGCGCCATTGTAATGGAGACGTCAAGATCTGGAGACAATAGAATGGGATACGATTTGAAGATTAACTCTACTTAACGGATGAGAAAATTTATTAGATAAATTAATGCAAGCACGAGGAAGAGAAAGAGAGAGAGAATCTATGCGTACGTTTTAATTTTTAGAAATATTTTTTCAATATATATATATATATATTATATTTGAATAATTTAAAGTATCTTGAACTACTACCATTACAAAATTGAATAATCCTCTCTAATTCTCTTTGATGAAATCTTCCCTGTAATAAAATCCTCGACTCGTGATGATAATCGAACAAATTAAACGACGTACAATATGATAATCTCTTCCTTTGTCTCGGCTGAAAGCGATTAAGGTCGCGATTGAGGATATCCTGCGATGAAAATTCGTTGCGAACGATCGAGGAGGAGGAGGAGGAAGATTTCCAGATTCCTTCCATATCGAAGGAGGGAAATTTCCTCGCCGAAAAAACAGAAGAACAAACCGAGCAAACTTCTTAAACTCGTTTCCCCTCCCCTCCCC